AACTGCCCCTACCAAGGCAAAGACCTTTCTGTAATTTTGAAGATTCACAGTGCCTGATCAACTCCTATTGAAATAGAGAGACTTGGAACTGACTGGCATCTCCTATCGTCAAGTCCATATTTTGTCTATACAAAAGCGGACAATTCAGTTAAAATGTGTGGTTTTCAAAAAACCTACTCTTTTAATTTTGGGATGAATAAAAAGATATCAAGTGTGTTAACAAGGTAAAAGAAAGACGAAGGAAAGAAATACTGTTAGTCCTATTCACGTATTTCAACTGCTGATTATTTTGAATAAATGCGTACTCGTTCTTGTTCTCTTCCTTTCAATTGCAACTCTTGGCAGGTGCTCATTGCGAGTTAGAGTAATAACTCGTAACCTTCGCACGGCAATTTTGAGTGAATAAGACAGACACTAACTGAACCTGCTTCAATCATTGCCAATCATAAGGGCTTAGAAACTCAGGTCCACCAAGAGTTGTTACCACCCTACACTTTCCTCGTTATAGGCAGTTAATTATCTCCTATGGGCGTTGGCGTCGGTAAGTCACCTCTTTTTCTTACGACAACTCCCCAACAAAGGCGCACACACACACACACACTAGGCACACGACACATTTGCTGTAAAATTGTAGAGTACACAACTGCAGTTGGCATTGAGCAGTGTAAGTGCAATGGGGATTGAAAAAGGACATTTCAGGTACAATGTACTTGAATGAATAATCCGCATTAAAGGAGGTCCGTCATAATGCCCAAATTTCAAACTGGAATTTTGCGTGATCATGAATTGTTACCATTCATTTCATCAAAGCGAGGAAAGCCGCTAAAAGGGCTTTTAATTTGGTAGGAAAATGGGACTGTCCTCATCCACCAATTCGTTATAAAAGATGATGATTAAGTCCCTCTCAACATTTACTTAAAAAGTCAAATCGTTTGTTTTGGGGAAATCGAACATACTGCGATATTTGAGCCTCGTGCGATGTAATATCGACCAGTGACTCTCATTTTACTTACATAAAATTAAGGCCCAAACCCTATCGTATAATTGCATTTCCTTAACGAAACTAGCCTTTTAGGAACTTCGCATTCTTAATTATCACGCCTTTTAAGTTCAAATATAAATTTCATTCATTGAATGACACTGACTTCAATCCTACGCCTTCATTCATCACCCCTAGAAGCCTTAATATTTGTTTATCTGTCAATAAAAGCTGCGCAATTTCAAAGGAAGGTGTACAAATATGCCTATTTCAAAAGACCCGATTCCATCTTGAATTAAAAATAAGAAAGTAGATAAAAAATTATAGAGCTGAATAAGATTATAACTATAAAATTAATTCACGAATAAAATAGACAATAATTTAAAGTATAAGGGCCGAATTTATAACAGGGGACCGCATTATATTCAGGCGAAGAGAGGCAAGCAAAATTGGAATAAAACCAAGTGGAAAGCGATGAAAGCAGAAAGCGCAGACTAGAAGCGCGAGTTCAGCACTCGACTTCCACACCGAAGCCAATCTGAGTCTCTTCAGAATCGTTGAAAAGAGCACAGACGCAGACTTTGACACCCTTTTTAAGTTGGCTCTTTAGGGAAGCGTAGACTCGTTGGTGGCTATCTAACTTCAGCTTTACAAGATGCTTCTTCCCGTTGTCTAATGCGTATTGACAACCTACGGCCCAGGTGTGCGTCGATTCATTGCGATTCCAGGTCGCCTGAATACAAGAGGCCAAGATTAACTACTTAAATGGGAGCTTAGTAACCAAGTAACCGGTATGCATTGAAGTTACGCAATGAGATAATTGAGTTTAAAAAACGGTATTGAATCGATGAAAAAGCATCAGGAACTACCACTGGCTCCGTAGCAGAGGAAGTTTCTATTATGATGGGAAAGGCTTCTATTAGGTGATATAATATGATGAAAAATAATGCAAACCGGGATATAATTTTAAAGCCATTAATCTGAAAAATATTATTCAACTTCTGGTTAAGGCTTAACACTCCGAGAAAACGTGAAACTAGAGAATCACCAATTGGAAAAGCTAAGCTGATTTCTTTTGTTCACAAATAAAGAAATTCTATTGCAGACAAATGAAACTGAAAAAAGCATTTTACTTCGCACCAGACTAAAACTAAAATTTTACGACTTGCACTTAGACAAAATTGTACATACGACATTCAGTGCTCACTGACTGATCCATTCACTTCAATAAGCTTCTTTAAGAGGCTCCTAAATTATCTTAACAGGGCAGAGCGTAATAGGCCTACTCAATGTAAACTCTAATTTGTCATCAAACTTAAATAGCTATCAGCTGAGAACTTAAAAATGAAGAATATGAGGTGGTAATGAGTAATGAAAAAATCAAATATACATATCACTGACTGTGAAGACGATATTATACGCCATTAACTGTTAACTGCAAGTAGTCGCTTTATGAAATGTTGAATTTACGAATGTAATTAGTAGAAATGGAATTTAAAATTTAAAAGAATTAGGCATAAAAGAGGTAATAATAATAATTTTGATAAGAAAATTTACCTCAGCAGCATACTCCAAGGTGTTAGACAGGCGTTGATAGACACCAGCAGTAAAAGTTCGAGCCCAATCTGTGATGATAGCATGGAAGCCGAAATCACTGATCGAATATGCAAAGGCGAAATCAACGAATCGTAATTTCTTTGCAGGCGAATCAAGGTTTACGATAATTCCAGCCAGGTAATCTTGAAATCTGACACAAAATCCGAAATAATTATGAACAAAACATTCAAAAGCGGAGCGAAGTGTATAAAAATGTATACCCGAAAACTAAGGACTGTTCAACATCTGGCAGAGTCTCGCGAAAGTTGCAGTCAATTTTCCCATTGACATATTCGTTTTCATATTTAGACTTTACATTAAACTTTACCTTTCTATTATTAGCCATTTTAGAAATTTTAAAACCTACTTATCATTGATATTATACACAGATTTTATCTTGTTAGTGAGTCCTTCAATCAGATGATTTTCCGCGCTTAATTCCGAGGATATTGAACCTTTAGAAATCCACTTTTCTTTGATTTTGACACCATATTCTTTTAGAAACAGAGAAGATTCAATAGACCCGTACATCTATAAAACATAAATACGAACTAGTGATTACTACATTTCTGTAACGAAAAGCGTTGTCAATCCGAGAGGCATATTCCCAATTTCCTTCCTTGCTCTTGAAGGAGAAAAATTTCATACCAAGGTCAAAATTTTTCCGGAGAACATCTCGAGCCGCCTTCCCTATATCAGAATATGAAGGAGGCCCCATTGCATTAGCCGGTTAGAAAACAACTGCCAAGACCCACATGACCTTAAAGAAGTGGACTTGCATAGTAAGAATCCATTTTCTTTAAACTTTAGTTTTTCACATAAGCTTAAATAAAGCTACCATTTTCTTTTATGTTTTATCGAAAAGATATTTATCGTTCTTAATGCGGAGCATATATATATATACATTTTAATAAAAAATTAAATAGTATGGAATTTCCAATGAACATCCCTTCCTGACAGTAAAATGATATAATTAAATTTTACGTTAATCATAAATAATCAGAATATAAATCAAAGTTTTTTATGAATATATTTTGAAATAATGTCTATAAACTGTATGACACCATAGATAGGGTATTTCATATATCACTTTGCCGTCAATTAATTCAGTCAAAACTTTTAAATTTATTTCTTTCAGCTCTTACAATCAAAACCAAAGGTTATTTAATAAAATAGATTTGTAAAACGAAATTTTACCGCACTCATCAAGCCCCGAGTTTTAAATCGAGCAGAGTTCGTCGATAATACAACATTTAGTTAATCTATGATTATAATTACCATCTTGTTAAAGCATTTGCAGTTTGGATAACATGGTAAAGTTTAAAAGGCATTATTAACATCGCATTCTTACGTTGCTATTCGATATTTTTGTTCCATTATTTAAACGCGTAATCCAACTATTCACTTACGTATTAGCACTAAGGAGAAAAATGTTTTTTATAAAAAATTTCAAAGTAACAACACAGCCTTCATATTTTTGGGAATTCAAATAGAAGAATCATTCATAAATAGAAATATAATGTCATTAAGAATAGCAATCCATACTGATAGAATAATGGGCCTCTAATATGAGGTCTGCTTCACTGGCACTGATCTGCTAGATATTACATATCTTATGTTATAACCATGGCTTCGAAAAGCTAACAAGGCGATGATTCTCAGCTGTAGTTTCGAAAATCTGCTGCCCAAGAGCGTACATAGAAAAGCACACAATAGCTAATAATCACACGAAGACCTTGAAATGTCACTCAATATATTTGCAGTGGTCCCTTGAATTGATAAGCTTTCCCCACCTTGTCTTATATTTGGGGAATGGGAAGTAAATCAAATTTTGTTTGTCTGCTCCTTGTTAGAGCTATTTTCTAACATAGTGCAAAAAAATTATTTTTTACGTTAACAAAATAAGATGCATTCAATGATCTCCCCATATACAAAATAATAGTAAATAATGATGTAAATAAATAAAGTCATTAAAATTTAAATCTTACGTGGTTGTTTATGTTTACCTTAATAAGGCCGCTCTTCAACAGGCGAAAACAGCAAACACTGCATTCTAACACTTTCAACAATATCTATTAATATGAGTTATGGCAGAGCGCTCTCCATCTTTTATAAGAGAACGAACGTCTATAAAAGGGAGTGGAAAGGTTTTGTATCTCCTTTCAAGCTTGATGAAAAGTTAACAAGACAAAGTTATTTCTTTATAGTAAATTCAGCTTTATTTAACATTCCATCTGGGAATAAAATCTAAATTAACCTTTGTAGGAGATAGTTACGTAAAGGCGAATTAGTAATGCCAAACAATGCATGAGAAATGCATTATTGTTAATATTATTATTATTATTATTATTGTTAGTGTACTATTGACAAAAACGGGCAGGAAGAGGAAAAGCAAATTCTCTTCACTGTGGTGAAACTTATTGGTGCTTGACTTGAACTGAGTATGGAATAACGTAATTAATGTTTTTTTCAAGTAAACAATTAAAAGGATATGCGTTATTTCCAATGACATTGGGAAGAGAAACCAAAACAATGCAAACTTTGTTAATGAACAGTATTTCGTATTTTTACAATAATATTTTCACTTGAGTATATCCTCTTTTAAGAACTGCCTTCTACGTTGAATACTTCTTCGTGTTTGCTTGAAATCCTGCTGGTTTCATATTCCTTTCGAATGACTTGTTACATTTTCAGAGGCCTATGCATTTCTCATTCCCATTTTAGGAAGCTTTCTTTCAGGTCTTGGATGAGCAGTCGACAGCAGCACTAATATACAGCACTTGCACTTTATTTAATTCCTCCTTTTTTCACTTCGTCTACATGAACGGAATCACTTTTTTTCATTATGCGGATCACTGGCAAAAGATCACAGAGTAGAAAACGGCATTGACGTGATTAGTAAGGATCATCAAGTCCACATCGTGTTCCTCATCGAAATAAAGGAAATTAAGTTATTTTTGAATTTCAAATATAACATTTGCCAAATAATTGAAATGGAATCATGGCAGTTTCGGGGGAAGCAAGAACGTTTTATAGGCCAGGGGTTATTGAAACATTTGAAGCCTTTATTTTCATCTGGTCAAAACCCCTATAACAAAAGTCCAACTACTACATCGCTTGCGTTATTAGCGAGATCATTTTGATAAATAACCAGTTAACAAAGTGGATTTTACTTCTTACAGAACTAGAGAATCTACAGGTGGTTTGAGTAAAAAATATCCAAATTTTCATTTTTCATCTCCAATAGTTAAGATAGCCCCATTGTGTTTCATCCAAAAAGTTTATTCGTTTTCGGAATAAGTTCATGTTCGTTAATGCTCAATTAAATTTTTAGAGAATAGCTCAATTTGGCTTTCTTTATAACATATGATTACAAAATACTGTACGATTAATAACCTGTATATTTGAATCCTTTTCGCAATAATTAATTTCAAATTGCCTATATGAGTCCACTTTACAAGAGAAAATTTTTTTTAAGAAACTACTCGAAAATTGATTGGCGGTGAACAAATTACGCGAGAGTGTAATTAATTTTATTCCTTTGGTTGATAGACGATCATTGGAAATCACTGTGACAGATGGGAACACACCCCCGACCTTGTCGAGTGAAAAGAAAATTGTAAACATAAAGAGATAAAATGTGTTCCTAAAATTGTTTAAGCATATTTATCAGAAGAGGGGTGCAAGAAATTCTCGTCATCTCACCTGTCTAGTTATTAGTGATGATCAAAACAATTCGCTGTTAAATGACTAACTTACAGTCACAACTAAGTATTAAATAGCAACAATCTCGCTTTCGCAGTCACAAATTAAAGTATTTTGGCCCCGACCCCTAACACCCTGCTTTCTGGTTTTAAAGTCGATTCATTTCTATTTCTATCGTCTGCTTCAAAAACAAGAATCTATCAACAATGCCACCAATTGTTGTTGCTCTACATAGGGTGCCTCCAATCGCAACTTACCACGACTGGCGGTCCTCTAGTCTTAACCAGGAACGAAAGCTCCATATCTGGGGACGGAGTCCAAAGAACAAGACCCTCAGACTCAATCTCATTCACTCTAGGAAGTGAAATGCGGAGATTAAAATATTTACGGACTAGGAGGTAATCTTGAAAGATCTTTACTGACCCTTCTCTTGCGCGTTCGAACGCACCAATGCCTACTAATTCAGGTTTTTAAGTGCATTTGCATATCTGTAAAAAGTACCGCGCGAATTTGCGTCAAATTTATAATGCTCATTATTTAATTAAATGGAAAGTAAATATTTTCACAGCTTTTGAAAAAAATTCATCTCAATAATTCACACTGCTCAGGCATTTATAGGAGAAAAATTGTAATAACGCATGAAAGAAACTCTTGTTTTGACTTTTTAGTTTAGTTTAGTCATTAAATGTTAATAACAATAAATATTCTATGGTCGATTTTTTTAACGAAACGTTAGTTTGCGACTTATTCAATATTAACCATTCCCCAGAGAATCTGACTAAAGTAGGGTTGCTTAGTACACAAAAGGTGTGGATTTATAAAGTAAACTTGCAAAATATGTAAACAAATGACACAAGTGGAAACCAAGAGTTGAAGTATCTGTGTCACGCGTACTTTCATTTCAATTAATTTTTTACAATATACAGATATTCTAATGAAAGAATATTACTTAAAAGCGTAAAAAACAGTTACCGTTAAAGCTTCCTCCCAGTTTAACCCGTGGGGCACGTTATCGCCTAACACGTGATCGCATGCGCACAATCAATAGCCAATCAGAAGCCTTCGTTTGTTTGCTAATTATGATTAACCATACTGCATGTACACTTCTACCATACTACGCTTCTCAAGTAAACGTGTTCCGTGTGATAAGTCTGTTTTCTCTATAGCTGAGCTGTAGCGTAGCTAGTTCTGGGAGTCTTGCCAGACATAGTAGATTCCGCCACAGAGATTTCTGAGTCAGTCAAGGCTTTATTAGAGTATCAATCCGGTACAAATCAATGAGGTATATAGGTTAAGAGGTTAAATTATAATTTGATGATCTCAGTCTGGCACAGGAAAAATTTTAAAGATAAAGTGAGTTGCGATCTGTGCCGATGTTTCCTAAGGGAAATTAAACTTTGTATCTAATCATCTTTCGAACTAATTCAAGTTTTAATTGTATGGAAGGAGAAGGCTTGCAACGGAAACCCAATGAACCTCTTGATCAACAAAGTAGCTTGTGAATACAAGTTGGAATATGCGGTTGGTTCAAAGATACTGTATGAAAAGGTGAATAATTTTATCAAACCGGGGTGTGCGATAGACTTACCTCCACGTGGTGCACCTTGGTGGGTGTGCGATAGACTTACCTCCACGTGGTGCACCCTGGGAAACGTATACTCATACGGTAAAAAGTCTATTAACCGGAAGTTTGTGTGCGATAGACTTACCTCCACGTGGTGCACCCTGGGCAGCGTATTTTCTTACGGCAAAAAAGTCTATCACTCGGCTTTCGTTATATTCATACGGCAAAAAGTCTATTAACTGGCAGTTAACTACGATAGACTTACCTCCACGTGGTGCACCCTGGGCAACGTACTTTCTTACGGCAAAAATTCTATCACTCGGCATTCGTTTTTCAATAGACTTACCTCCACGTGGTGCACCTTGGGCAACGTATATTCATACGGCAAAAAAGTCTATAAATCGGCAGTTTACTTCTAACTTCAAAATACCATGACCCCACAGTATGTC